GGGGAGGACGGGTTTTGGAGGAGAGCTGGAGCAGGACAAGCGACCAGCTTGGAACGGAGCGGGAACAAGCAACTAAACAAAGAGCCTTAGCCGGGCGTGAGTGTGTGTGCTTGAGTGAGAGAGTGTGTGTGCGGGTGCCGCACACACGCTCTGAAATAAATCCGTAAACCAACAAATCCTGGTCTCCGAGGGCTCTGTCAGACACCCACGGTGGCACGACCGCCACAGATGTCATGCTAGTAAACTTCTTAATTTAGACATAAATCCTGTTATTAAAAGGACCAAAACAAGACACAGATAAAAACCAACACACCTTTGAGCAGTTGAACCGGCTCTATCGGCCCCCGTCTCCCTGTCGGTCCTCCCTAGTAGGACGTGTTGCCGTGGCGACCCGGTGTGGTCCACCACCTCCTTGCTGCTGACCTCCACTCCTCGGATCAACACCCCACCACTTCCTCCTCCTCCTCCCCATCCGGGAACGGCCGCGGCCATGCCCGTGGCGATGACCGGGTCGGCCAGCGCCCGGCGTCCCAGCCAGGACATGGGGGAGCTGCGGCTGGCTCCGCCCACCGGGGGCTCGCTGGACTTGGGGGTCGCCGCACCTCGACGAGGCGCCAGCAGAGCCTGGAGGTCGAAGCTGGGGTGGCGCTTCCTGGGTGGCTTGGGAGGCAGTGGGGCCTCAGTGGGCTGTGAATTCATTCAGAAGAGAATGGCCCTCATAAGCTGGATCATTACCGTGTTTTTAACTTGTTAAACTTTTATCGGTTTATTTTATAGACACTTGGGGAGCAGCAGACTGCAGATGTGATTACGAATCAAGCATTTGAAGGAACGTCTAGCTTTTTAGCAACTAAATGCTCAAATGTGTGCAATATTTAGCGGCTCAGCTTGCTTGAATATAAAATGTAAAGTACCAAACTCACACTTTTCTTTGCAGGATTTAGAAGGTTCTGCAGGAACTTCCCACCCCCAGCTCCTCCGGCTCCGGCTGCCCCTCCCACTGCCTCTTTCCTGTTTCCTTTATCTTCTCCTATCTTCAGCGTGGAGCAGGTCTGCGGCCTGAACAGGGATGCCAGGGAGCCCCAGGACTGCAGCCCCCCTTCTGCCCCGGCGGCGCCCAGCCCCCAGTCGCCCTCTCCTTCGGGGCCCATCAGGTCCCACAGGCTGCTGGCGGAGGGGGTTTTGGGCTTCCCCTGGCCCTGGCTGTGCGCCCGGTCGGTCTGGAGGAAGCGCGGCTTGACCTGTGCCACCGTCCTCTGGTAGCGCTCCACGGTCTGGGTCCAGAGGTCCAGGAGGGCCCCGCCTCCCAGCTCCATGGCCAGAGAGCGCGCGTCTTGGAAACGGGACGGGGGGATTGGCGGGAGGGAGGCGAGCGGGCAGGCGGGAGAGGACGGGCAGGTGGAGGAGGCGGTGCAGGAGACGGCGTCACACCACTGGGTGGCCTGCAGGGGGGATGGGGAAAACGTGAGCGTGCGCCTTTGGCCCGCCGGTGAGAGCTCGGCGCGTTTGCCGGCGCCGCCTTACCTCCGTCAGCGTGGACAGCAGCCTCTGCGTGTTGTCCAGCGTGGTCCAGCAGTCCGACAGGCAGTGGGACATGTCTCGCAGCTTCTCCCTCACCGGGGGAAGCCGGATCTGGATGTTGCCCAGCCCTGCCCAGTTCAGTTCACACCAGCCCTCCAAATCGCTCAGCACTGCCAGAGTCTCACTGTGCAGCTCCTAGAAGACACAAGAAGATCCACATGAGGCCGTTAATGTCCCTTAAAGGATATTCAGTTTGATAAATTCTGATGTAATATCTTTATTTACCTAAACTAACAAAAAAAAGCTGGTTAACGGGATCCATGAACCAACAAATCTATCAACGGGTAATTCATATTGACTTGTGTAGCAACGGTCTTCAAATGTTGACAAGATTTATCATAATATATTTTAGGTGGTGTAATAGGAGTTATGGTGGAAACCACCAGCCAGGTTCCACGTAACGCAGAGCCAAACAGAAAACTCTTTGGTTTGCACACAGGACAACATTTTTTTGTGAATGGAATGACTACTAAATTATGTTTCCGGAAGTAATGGTTCATCAGGAGAGTAATTTAACATCAATGCTGGTTAAGGGGCTCAGAGTTTAGTTGTTCAGATAATTAATTAATTGCTAATTAATCTTAGCACTGTTTGGTTTCTGCCACTAGGGGTCTCTGGATCGTAGGGGTAATAGAGTTGTGACGGTTTTTGGCTTTGCGTAAGCTGTAGATGGAGATTTATAACACACACCTGGAAGAAACCGTTCACAGACGTGGCCGTGCATCAAAGTTTCACTCATGTAAATCTTGAGTCATGTACATTGAGTCGATGCTATTTTGCTCTATCGAAGCAGCCCCTTATCTGGTCTTCTAGTTAAGTCAATGGAACCTTAAACGAGCAACAACACAAGCCATTTTCCACCGCAGTTTCAAGACTGTTATGTGATTAGAATGTGTGTAATCTAACTGGACGAACAATCCATCTCAGGAATCTACTGATGCTCCCACTTCATTCCTAATTTGGTTCCTGGATGAACCCATTTAACATATTCATAAAGAGAATATTTTTATAGGTGTTTGTTCAGCCCAAAGAGAAGATGGGTAGATTCCTGAACACCTGAGTGCAATTCTTGATCCTACAGGTTTGTGGAGCCAATGTGTGGATTTCCTTATCCACACAACCCACACACTGGCTTTGACTCAACCACCTGTGTGGAGGCGTCCCACTGTGAGTCAATTGAAATAGCCTATTCGCTAACTCCAAGCCATCGGCGTGCAGACCTACAGCAGGTAGGCCGCACGCCTGCCACGGTGATCGGGCCACTCACGTTAGCCGTTTCTCGGAAGGTCCTGAACCTCTGCTGCTTGAGCGAGAGCCGGCTGAGGGAGAGGGGGGGCTCCTTGTAGTCCTCCAGCTGTGACTGCACTTGCTCAATCTCCTTATCACACTGCGGGTGACAGGCCAACGGGGAGAGAGGGGTCAGAGGAGGACACGGGATGTTTTACTGAGATCCGAGGTGGAGGGGAAGTAGGTGTCGAGAACAAAATTCATGACTCAGTTGCACATCATTTCTTGCCTCTGTCACAAAGAGAGGAAAGCATTTTTAATAAAAAATCTTTAAGAAGCAGAAGGGGGTGTTGGAGTTTCCCTGAAATCCATTTTTGGAGCAGGATAGAGATATTCAGCGAGATAAACGCTGATTAAAAATAGGTCAAGCCTCTTCCTAATTGAGAATATGAAGAATTCTCCATTTGATTTTCATGTGTTGTAGTGAGAAGACTGATTTGATTCTGAAATTGATGATCCAATTAAATCCCGTTTAAAAGCATAAATACAATTTTTTTTAAAAAGACACACTTGGACCCACCTTTTCCAGTTTGTCCACCAGTCCTGCCAGTCGTCCCAGTGCTTCCAGATCGCGGCCTCTCTGGTTGGACACCCGGACGAGCTGGTGAAGGGCATCGTCCGCGCTGTCGTACAGTTTAGAGGTGGCAGCCAGTGCAGCCCTGTAAAGAGCAAACACAACAATGGTCTATGTTCTCTGGCCTGGCTTTTGTTGTTGTTGTTGTTGTTTTTTTTTTTTTGGTGAGTGAAACCCGATGCTGGTAAAATGTTGCCAAAAACATAATGACACTTTCTGGCCGGTAGGACCGACGTGGTTCCGAAAACCTGTCTGTCTCTCTCTCAAGTTTGCCTTTCTGCCACTTTGCCATGAGAACTGAGGACTTGGCGGGAAAATTGCGGAGAACATACAGAAATCCAAATGCTTGATTTGTTTGAAAGCAAGCATGTTTTAAGGTTATTTCTACATGAATAAACCCAATGCGGATTTGGTGTTACGCATGTTGTAGAAACATGAGATTAGGCGTTTGTTCATGAGAACTAAAGGAGGATGGAAGGAATTTTGTATGCGTGTTAAGTGCTCGCCTTCTCTATTGTAAAGGATTGAATACATTGTGAATATTCAGAAAATCTGGCTACTGATGAACCATCTCTCCAGCTATGCCAGCAGGTTGTTGGGATTGTACAAAATGCCAGCGCCATAATTAGCATCATGGTGGATTTAAGGGCTTTTGGATCGTTGGCTGTCTCTGACGTTTGGAGATATGTTGATGTGAGCTTCGTGAGAAAAAGCTGCCATTTAAACAAGTGGGTAAACCACAGAGGCTAAACCCCCAGAACACAATCTGTACCCCCCCCCCCGGGATGAAAAAAACGAGTGAGATTTATTTCTGTGTGGAGTATGCATGTTCTCCCTGTGTCTGTGTGGGTTTTAACCGGGTTCTCCGGCTTCCTCCCACCGTTCAAAAACCTGCATGTTACGTTGGTTGGACATTCCAAATTTCCCTTAGGAGGGTGTGTGAGTGTGGATGGATGCTTCTTGCTCCACCAAAGGAAGCGGAGCTCTCTGGTACCTGCAGTCGGGGGACTTCTGCGCCAGACCGGACGTGGAGCTGGTCAAGCCTGCGAGCCAAGCCCCGCCCCTCCGCTGGAGCTCGGTCAGGCGCTGGTCGGCCAACACGCTGGCCATGAGCTGCCGGTGCTTGTCGATGCTCTCGGGAACAGCCTGAAGGAGATCGGTTTGCTTCTTAAAGGGTCTGAGGTGTTTTCGTAAACGCGTCCCCTCGCCACTGGCGCGGCGGGGGGGGGGGCAGGTTAGAGAGCGTGTGGCGTTAGGTGACCTGTATATCGGCAGGCAGAGGCTCCGTCTCCATGGCCTGCTGCGCTTCGGCCAGCAGGGAGAGCGCGCTCTCGCAGCGTACTGTCAGGCTTTCCAGACTCTGAGGGAAAAACGCAAAAAAAAAAAAGAAATTACAGGTGGAAAGAGTGACTTTGAAATTAACATTTACTTTTTTCCTCGGAACCGACCTAAAAAAGACAAGAAAGAAAGGTCACAGAAAGCGCAGAGGATGGGAAAAATGTTTTCATCTGCTTGGATAAACCAGCATCAACTGTCTAGGGGGACAGTCATTGATGAGTCATTAGATCCTAATGAGGGTTTGAACTCTTTTGTTGCGTAAACAACCACTTAGCCAGCGTCCTGTTTTTACTCCATCTTCCCATTTTGACTCGTCCCCTCTCACATTTTACTTGAAAATCACACAGGAGCGTTTTTTTAAATCCTCCTGATTTCTGGCTTTGAATGTGGAGGGCTTTTCCTTACAGTCACTATAAGGCAAACTCAGGGTCGCGACAGAAAAAAAACGTCAAAGAGGGATGAACTATGATCTGGTTAAAAAAGAATGAAGATAGAGGAAAAACGAATGTGTGTTTAATTTGAAAAGATGAAAGCACAGCTTTCATTTACCAGTCTGAAGGTCAGCCAGTCGGAGTGGCAGTGACTGAAGTCTCCATCCAGCTGTGTGGGTAGCTGTTGCCTGTCTATGTACTGCTGAAGGACTCCAGTTCCCTGGACTGTGTGAGCCTGAAGAAACGAAAAAAATCCTTTTGAATAATTAGCTATTTCGTTCATTATAAGGATGAGAAACATCTGAGAGAGTCCAAGCAAACAGAGCAACCTGACTCTACAGGAACCGGCAGTCTCCAGTAGTGCTGCATGCAAAAAAATGAATCCATAAAGGATTCTTTAGTGCTAACTATCTGACAGATGATGCTAATGCCCACAATCCAAAGAGGAAGTGAGTGTTTTCTCATAATGTGTTTTGGTTACTTGTAAACGAAGGATACAAACAGATTAGAAAATGTCCAGGAAAGTGACAGCTGTGTTGTGTAAACTCTGAAAATTTTTCTGCTTTAAACCGAGAAAGGATTGTTTAAAAAAAGAATACACCTCCTTGACTCCTTCGGGTCACTTTTTTTCTTACAGATTTCACGTCCTGTGACTTTTCCTCATAATGCAAAGCGGAGCCAGGTTGAAATACAAACCACATGGCAGGAGCAGATTTGTCAAGCAAAATATCTGCTGACAAAGCAGTACGCTGGTTCCAAGAATGATTTGACATACTCTGAAAGTCCTGGGTAAAAAGCTGCAGTTGACTCCGACTGACAAATAATCAGCTTTTTGCAAAGAATGGAAAAGGGGTAGTTCTTCTTGTTTCTAATGTGAACAGGCTTGAAAATGATTGTTGAAAAACTCTTTAAATGACTAAAACAAAAAACAACCTGACTAGTGAAACATCAGATTTGGTAGCTGACCGGTTCTAAACTTAGGATCTGAATGGATTCACCTCCGCTCCTTTCAGGTTGCAGGAGAAGGGCTCCTGCTGCTCGTCCACCAGAACCAGGACGGATCCGAGACCGCCGGGAACCAGCACCTGGAGCCCACATTAGTAACAGTGAGCTGCAGGCTCCTCTGCAGGCCCGGTAAAACTGCACCGGCACACGTTTGGCACATTTCTCTTAACATCACTCGCCCCCCCCTCCCCAACCCCACCCCCACCCGACTCACCTGGAACAGTTTAAGTGCAGAGAAGCAGACGGCAGATGGTGGAGAGAGTCTGCTGTCCATTAACACCGTCAGACCTTTTTCTCTGGCCGCCGGCCTGAGGAGAGCGGTCGGAGAGAGGTGGGCGTGAGGTTAAATCAGGGGCCAGAACAATCAGGGAGAAAAAGCCTTGGAAACTTTGCGTTCTCACCTAGCTATTTCAACATTAAGCATTAGTTTTGAGAGCAGAACTGGGCCTCTGAGGCGTAACGGGGCACCATCCCCCCCTCAAAGCTGAGGAGAGCAGGCGCACAGTGCGGGGATTGTGGCAGGTAAACTGGCAAGCTAAGAGATGTTTGTTAAATTGAGTTGAGTTTGTTGTGTTTCGCCCGGCTCCCTGGCACATGCTGCGTTTGCCTTCCCCCCCCCCCCCCGCCATATGCTGCTTTTGGCAAAGCCAACAACAGGCGATGGGAATCAGCCGAGTCAGACATCATAATGAGCGCTGCTGGCTAAAAGGCCCGGTCAGGAGGCAAGTGACACAGGGCCAGATATAAATATCACAAACTAAGCTCATCAGAGATTTTTTTTTATTTTTTAAAGCGCGCATGATAACTGTTAAGTCGTTTGAAGGGGGCCTCTGCTCACTTTAAGGTTCCTATACCCGGTAACTCTGCATTATTATGGGAATGGGAGAAAAGTTAACTGTTAAGAGCCTGAACAACTGGGCTTTTATGGAGTTTTCTGCTCATTGGAGGAAGCACACGGACTTACCGAGTGATTCGGTGGTAGCATGCCAGAATCTGGGCCATCTCCTTCACACTGGGACCCTCCTCTGAAGCATCCATTAAAACCAGAGCACGTCCCAGCCTGTCCACCGTACCTGTGGGCATTAAGTTTTCCATTAAACACTGAAGGGGGCAGGCAGAGAGATAACACTGCAATGCACTGCAATTACAGTCATACTTATACGCATCCCTCCTCTCCTAATCCTTATGGATGGGTTGTGTACAATTTGTCTGGTTTTACACCTGTTACAGCCCTTATGCTTTGGAATAATTTGAAATACTGACAATATTCAAATCTGATGTTCCACGTGATTCCCGTCCCAATCAATTGCTAGTTTTGGTAAAAAAATTGTAAAGAAAAAAAAGTTGTTATTCTTGCGAAACTTTTTTTCAAATCTTTTTTTAAATACATTTTTTCACAAATGTTTTCAAAGTTAGTGTTGTTGTTAACTAAAAACTCCTTATTATTTGAAATTAAATTCAAGTTTAATGAACCTAAGGATAAATATGTGATATTTATGCAGCTATTTAAGTTTATGCACAACCTGTGTGGGGGGGGGGGGTTAAACGTTGCTCACCTGTCAGTTGTAGCTTCCCTGACTGGAGGAGGTCTGCATCCAGCTCCCTCAGCAGGGCCGGCTCTTTTGAGGTATCACCATTCTGTTGGTCAGGACATGTCTCTGCTGACCCAGCCTCCTCCGTCGAGTGGTTAAATAAAGATACGCCAGACTGGCCATTACATACGGGCAGAGATTCGGCACCTGCCTCTGCTGAGAGGTGGAAAAAAACACAGGGAATCACCTACAGATCTAAAGAAATGTCAGACTTGGCTTGATCTGATGAAGACTTTTTTTTACTGACCTGCGCTACTTTTTCTTGTGTTCTCTTTCCCTTTATTAGTCGCTGTGAGCACTCCGTCAGGTTCGTGGGACGCTTCGGTGTGTTTGGTCTGGTTCTCGTCAGCGGCTGGCGGCTTTGTTGATAAAGAGCAGGTGGTGGGGCTTGGTAAAGAGCCTTTAGCCTGCGGTTTGGAGCCCTTCTGGTTTGCACGGCCACCCGACCTTGCCCTCCGTTTGGCCCCCTTTCCCTTCCTTTTCCTCCTAAACACACAGCAAAGAAGAGTACAGCATAAAGTTTATGTTATTTACTCTTTTTTCATATTTTAACCTGCAATTTCATATAGAAGTGTGACAAACATGACGAAAAAGTACAGCGTGTCTTGAAATATCTGTGAAAAACAACTGTACCTTGGTGCTCTGAAACCCGCTGTTTTGATTTCTTTTCCTCTGGGACATACTCTGTCCTCCACCTTTCCTCCATCCCATTCATCTGTGGCCTTCGGTTTAGGTGAGTTATTCGTTTTGGACCCTCTTGTGGTAATGTCTTCACTTTTGGAGACTTCGGTGAACGGTTTGTCTGGTGCCTCTGACGTCGGGGTGACAGCATCGCTGTCTCCACTCAGTGGTTTCTCACTATCCTCAAAAACAGAGTCTGAATGAGATCCGTGATCCGAGTTGCCCTCTGCGACATGCCCCACTTCTTTGCTGGTGACATCCCGGGTCTCGTTTGTGCCTAAGCTGTCACCGCTCAGGGAGTTATCGTCTCTGCATGGCTTCGTAAAGCCGTTGCTATCCCTCTCCCTGCCCACACCTGGCCTCCTCTCTTTGAATGGGCCATCGCAATACGGACGGTGGCTTCCTGCGCATTCTGAGCCTTTGCTCGTTTTATCTCCTTCATCAGAGTCCTGAATAGAGGAGGAGTAGGACCGTCTTCCTCTGGGAGGTTCTGGAGCTCCTAGTGGAGGCTTTGGTAGTAGTTTATCATCCTTAGGAGTCACCACATCACTTTTAGTGCCTTGAATACCCCGAAAGCTTCCGGCCCTCTCCATTTTCCCATATCCCCAAGCTCTCCCCTTGCGCAGTTTAATGGCCTTACTTCTCTTGCACAGAGGCAAAGTCTTGGTCTTACAAATTCCATGCATCTCAAGGTACCTCTGCCTTGGGTCTACCCCGCCATCAGGACCCCCTCTGGGTTCCAGAAGCTCCACATAATCCCCATCGAGGTGACTTTGCCTAGCAGTCCGTCCCAGCCCGTCCTCGCTGCGCCGCCGCCTGAGCGCAAGGTCGGAGTCCAAGCCATCGGGTGGAAGATCGTCATCGTCTTCCTCATCCCAGGACCAGGAGTCCAGTTCCCCAGAGGATGAGCCACCCCAGCCCCCGAGGCTGCTGCCTCCCTCGCTGGGAAGGCGCTCGGACATCATGCCCTCACGGTTGGCCATCAGACCCAGCTCTTCCGATGGGTCGTGGATAAACTTTGGGTAGACAACTTCCTTCCATGGGATTCGTACCACACCGTCACATGTACTGACCAGGCAAGTGTCAAGCCCTCCTCCGACTATGCAAAGGCAGGATAAGACAAGACATATGTTAGTGTGTTACAGCAAGAAAGGCAAAGGCCAACCCACTGGCCATTCTATCCTTCGAATCCTGTGATAAAGTAACCAGGATTAAAGGGCTGGTTCGTCCTTACCCTCTCTCTTGTGACCCCGCTCCTTGTTGACGCTGTGTAGCCACTCAGAGGTAAACACAAGAGGGTGCTGCGACTCGGGCACCAGGATTTCCTGAACCGTACGACCCCCCGGTGCCAAACATTTTAGGGCCAGCCGGGGGCACCGAGTGGAAAAGGGCACCACCTGCAGGTAGAAGTCATTACTGCGTAGAAGCCTCCAGTCCAAAGTGGAAAGTTGTACAACCACTTTCTCGCCCAGACAAAGTGGCCACCCGGAGTGAAGGAACAAGCAGCCAAGGTATTGTGACTGATGGGAGGACAAAGAGAAAGGGACAGAGGGAGAGAGAGTGTTACATTTACAGGTAAAATAATTAAACCTTCATTTGTGTCATATGAAACTGATGTCCTATCTCTGAACCTCCTTGAGTTCTGTAGGACAAAAACTCACCTTTAAACATCTGACCTTTGTGGTTTAGTCCTGTATATAGAGTAGCCGTACTCTCTCATTCACAGATTTTAGCTCTCACCAACTGGGAGCCCATCTGTTCGCTTCCGTTTAACTTAGTCGCTGCATTTCTAGAACTGATACTACACAAGTCAACACTTTTTCACCAGCCCAACTGGCCCGAAGCCCATACCACACACACATGTTAGGCATGTGACTCACACAGTGTTTTCCCAACTGTAAAACTGCCCTTTAGATTGACACAATGGGAAGGCTCTGGACACCATGAGCCAGACAGAAGCGCTTTTAAAACAGGCAGCCCCAGCTGAAATGGTCCACAGTTTCACGAGGGCCAAACAACACATCAGATAACATTAATGAGAAAATTTGACTAAAGCAAGCGCAACCAAATCAGAAGTAAGTAAACTGTAAAAAAAACCACAGAACTGGCATTTACCCAGGAACTCTGACAGTCAGGCAGGGGAAAGGAAACCTTCTGTGGCATTTCGTGGATCATTAGTCAGCTGATCTATTGAGATAATACACATTAATTCAAGCACTATTCCCACCTTAATGAATGATGTGTCAGATATAAATCCCCTCCTTCGAAAACTGCGGTGTAAAACCAGTCGGGAACCTCCCTCTGCTGCTCCCGGTCACGTCTAATGGACTGACACGGGGCTGATCCCTCCCTTCCCCATGCCCTTCAGACTCATGAGACGTGATCAAATTAAATTCCTCACTCAACCTTTCCTCCATCTTCCCATTTCTACCTCTCTGCCGCTGATTCAATTTCTTCCCCTTAAGCCTCCCCTTCGTCTCTTTTTGTGTTCTCTCCCGGAAGGAGTGGACTAGCTTGGGACGAGTAAATGATACATTCTAAAGGCGTGTGTGACTTTTTCCTCTTTAAAAAGTTTATCAGTCTCGGGGTCAGTCCCAAATCCTGCAATCCTAAGATCCTCCTCCTCCGTCCACCCGCCCTCCTCCTCCTCAATGAATGCTAGTGTTTGCGCCTTGTTTGCCACCTCCTTCTACTCCAAAAAAAAAAAAACTCAATCAGCCCTCTATAGTCTGCAACTTTAAGCATCTTCTCTTTTTTTCAGCCATCCGCGCCCTAGCATGCAGTGAATGAAAGCCATGTCCATTCTCTCCTCCCAACTCCCACTGCTGCTCTGTAACTCGCCCTTTCTCTCACAGCAGTAACACACAAACATATGGAAGAAATTATTGTCATGACTCACAGTCTAACCCGCGTCCCAGGCAGCTTCACTCAGCGACAATGAAAACACAGTTTGCTCACAATCCCCGTGCATGTGTCTGTATGTTTAGGGAAAACTGGAAGAAGAAATAAGAGAAAGTTCTTTCTTCCACTATGTGAACAGCATTTGTCATGGGTAATGTCTCAGAAAGTATAATGACAGAGCTGCTGCTCGGTTTAAACAAAAGGGATCCGGCTTAAGTATACGTTGCCGCTGGTTTGTTTGCCTTGTTTATGTGTTTGAGGCAGAGGAAACAAACAGCAAGTTTACATAGCCGGAACCATGCTCTGATATTGTTTTTCTGCAGGTTGGTGTCAGAAAATTACAAACAGCTAGTTAGATTGGGGCTTCCCCCCCCCCCCCTCCTTCCAATTTAAAATCGGAAAAACCCCACATAATTTGCTTCAGTTTATCCAACTATTATTGATTATGATTATCATCATTATTACTGTGATTTGACTTGAGTAGCGTGAACAAGAACTTAGCTCTTAGTCAGATATAGTTGATTGATTTAGATTTAATTGACTAAAAATGTTTCTTATTCAGTTAGCAATACAGTACTTAGGTGTCTGATTAAGAGTCTGATTAATTAAAAGGGGCCAGTGGCTACGATTATGTGGAACTATCACAGAATTTACATTGGAGTAGCAACCGAAAGCAGCTCCAGACTTTCCAATGCATTGGAATAGTAAACCTCTGCGCAGTTCTTTTTCTGATGCCAGCAGGTCCTGGAAATAAAGATGGGAGGAAGCGGCCCATGGTTACAGTTCTCATAAACAGATAACAACAGAGCTAGTATCATTAGCCTAAAAATTTTTTCAATTAAGTTGGAAGCACAAGGAATACGCAGAAACTTTTCACCTTTATTTTCGACGAGTGATAATGCTATTGCCTCCTAAGCTAGCTCAGCTTTTACAGCCGTTAAATATCATTTGTTGTAACAACATTCGCACCAAGCTTGGCACATTTTCTTTTGGTTTAGAAAGCTAACACAAAAACAACGACTGTACAAATAGGCTCTTGTTTCCTCTATTCTAAATGTTGACTAAGAGACTGTTGCTACAACTAGCCTTAGTTATCCGGTTACTGACAGCAGAACTTGCCAACTAAACTCTCTCTCAGTTGGATCTCAAGGGTTAGTTATGAGTAACCGAAGAGTGAACGAGTACCACCATGCTGTCGTGAAATGTTTGCACCCATCATTGGTATAAGGATTCAGAGTTTTTGATTTTGTGGTAATTTAAAGTCTTGGAACCACCTTCCCAGTAGTTATGTTAACAGTCACTTCAGACAAAAGGGAACAGGATCTACATGTGGCCCCTGTCCTTTAAAATGTGAGGAATACCTTAACAAAACCTTCATAAGACTAGACGTTTGATTTGGGCTTGAACAGTCAAGGGACACTCTGTGAATAATTAATGCTCTCTGACGGTTCTGCCCTTTACATCTTCACGGGAGCAACTCTTGACAGAATGTAAGATTTGTTCATGTTGAAATGAACTTGACTTCACAAGCGAAACTTAAATCTCAACTTGGATTTTCCTGAAATTACCCCAGAGCCTCCACTAATGGCTTTACCTTGGCCCTGACGTTAAACCTGAGGCTCGAACAGTCTTGACTGAATTAAAACTTAGACTTGGACTTGTTGCTCAGGGGGACTGAGAACACTACCGCCATTACACTCACATCGCCGGGGGGGTGGGGGGCAACTTTCACCAGAGCAGTTGAGATTTCCCACAGCATGCTTCTTGTATGTGACAGCCGATTCTGCTTCTGATTACGCAGCTATGTGTGTGTTCTCGTCTGCTGTGTGTTTGAGGAACTCACGCAGGCATGCTGCTGGAGTTTGTGCAAGAGGTGCTTTGCGGGGACAAAGTAGTCCAGGAGGTAGCGCAGACTGTCGTGCTGGTACGTTGACTCCAAGACCGAGAAGACCTGCGGAAACATGTTTTATTGCGTGTTTGTGCATTTTTTCCAGAATTTAGACTGTAATTTTCTTCATGTGTTAGAAAGAGTCTGACAGAAATGATTGGGAGAACTGGTCCCAATCAAGGGGTTTGGCCAAAACTGAACACGTGTCCTGATGTTGTTTGAGCTGGCCTCCAGTTTCTATCTCAGCCCATAATATCCTCATCATCGTGTTCATGTTTGCAAAGATGTGAGGCTGAAGTACCAGTGTGTGTTTGCGCGGTATACCTGGGAGAGGAGGGGCGGCGCCGTGCTCTCAAAAGGGGGGTAAAGCGACGAGAGCGCCCCCTGCACACAGTCCTCCATTGCCTCTGAACCCTGAGAGACAGAGACGGTGAGAAAGGGGTTAATCCTTAACGGGGACACGGATTCATCTCTAATGTCTGCGTTGGTGTTTAACAGCCGGCTCGTCTCACATTCTGCTGACACACGTGCACGCATGCAAATATACGCACGCAGTCCACTTTCAACTTCCTGTTTTATGGTCTGGGGAGTGTCAAACATTTCCTCCGAGGGCCAGTGAATTCACGAGCCCCCGGGACAAAAGAGTGTGTGAACTCCCTAATAGGCACACATGAGTGCACAGCTGCATGCGCGTGCACGCCGTAACACTGGCCGAGCCCGGGAGGCGGAGGCCGACGGGCGCAGAGCTCGCAACCAGGGGTGTTTATTTTTCTACGCGGCCCGTTGGCATGGTAACCTCCAACTTTTTTCTCTCTCCTTTCACATTTCCCCCCTTGGACCTTCCATTTACTTCTCTCGGCTGCGTCCCCTTTGCTGATCCGCTCTCTCTTTCTCGGCCCCTTACTCGTTTGCTGACCTCCAATGTTTCACCCCCACCCGGCTCTCGGGATGTCATCTGACAACGATTACATCTGGATTCCTCGGCACATTGTGCTTAATAACTACAGAAACCGAGGGAGACAGACTGAGAACAATCGGTAAAAAAAAAAAAAATCTCGAGGAAGGGTATGGAAAAAGAAGTAAAAGCAAGCAAGAGCTGAGAGAGCCAGGAATGAATGAGCTGGAGGTAATGTGTGTGGGAAGGTTTACGATAGAAGGACAGGGTTCAACAGTATTAGGAAAGATTTATTTTGGGTTTGTTTCTGGGTACAGAAGACAGCTGGGGTTAGCCGCAGATGAGGACAGAACGAGCGTTACAAACAGGAAAGTATTTCGAACAAGCTCTGGCAAAACACACTGAACTAAGGTGAAGCAAAAGTCCAAATCTTTGGAATTGTTTTGCAACCAAAAATCTGTAACAGAATGAAAAATGGCTTCCACCATGAAAATCGAGGAGAAAAAACAATCCTAGTCTGCGATCTGTCCTGTTGAGGTCCACAGATCAAAGGCTGTTTCCTAGCTATGCTCACGGCTGTAAAGCAAATGGCATCAACAATTTGCTGACGCTGGGCTCGGATCAATTTTTCCAAACTAACAGAGGATTTTGACCAGAGCTATACTTGGAAACTTGGAAAGTAACAAACGACACAACTATAAAAATGTTGCCGAACAACGCAGCCTAGTTTTTCCAGAGGCTCAGAGCACTCAGAGGTTAGAATATTCCTTTGGCTTTCTGTGAAAAAAACACAAAAAACACAAAAAAACCAGTGGGCCTTTTTTTGGAAGGGTGTCTTCTATGATACGCACACACAAAATCCACAATTCAGTACAACAGATCTTCAAAATCTTTAAATTTATGTACATATACTTGCAGAGCATCGCTACATTAGTGTGTAATGGACAGAAAAGATTTCTAAAAATCCTATCGTAGTATCTTTGCATAATGCAGAAAGCCCATTTGCTCATAGGTAAATGGTCAATAACATTCTGACAGAGAACATATTGTAAACATTGCCGAGGCAGTAAAAGAAGTTTATACAGCCTTCTGGCTGACTGATGGAGCACATAGAGGGCAGTAAAAGCACAGCGGGGGGTTGAGGGGATTGCAAGGCGAGCCAGCAGGAACTTCCTCTTAGACTAAACCCTTTTTCAAGTATCCCCCAGGACTTCAACCAATTCAACACGCAGTTTGAATTGGTTGCAGTTATAAACATGACGGTGGTCCATCTCTGATGCATCTTCTTGGACACAACTGTTTATGGATGCTCTGGCTGAGTGCAAACGTCGAGAGGAATCGCCGTGTGTGCAAAGCAGCTGTCCTTTCAACTTGAGCTGTTGTGCGGTTTGACCCTCTTCTGGCTTCATGGAGCCCCCGAAGTTAAAAAATGTAGCTTTTACAACCTAACATGAAAACCACTGGACCTCCAGAGAGACAGTGCATGCAGCCATGTGAATAAGAACGGGTTCCAAGGTTATCCATGTGCGAATGTTTGAAAGAACGTCTTGGTAAATTGGTAAAACACAACCTATAACGAACAACAACAGACGGCAAGAAAAATAAGTGAGCTTCCCAGGTTCTGGCTAATGATACAGACACTGAGACCCACTTTGGAATCACCCTTCTAGGACGTGTCATCCTTGGTAGAGAGTCAGCCATCTTGAATGTTCACAACTCGTTGGGGTAGGTCTGATTTTAAAATAACAGCCAACGGACAGTTTGAAGTTGCTCTAGCGAGTGTTGCTTCCCCATGATAAACGCAGATGTCTTTCCTCGTTGACAAAGTGTCAACGCGCTGCCGGATTCTCTAAAACAGCAAACCCCCTCGAGTCGAAAAAGAGAGTGCGCGCTTTGTTTTTTCTCACCACCACGGCAGATTTGAAGAGGGGAACCTGCTGGCATTGTTCCGTCCATGTTGGAACTGGCAGAGTAGCTGCATTCAGCGCAGTTTCCTCTGTGACAGAGCAGCACAAGGCTGCAGCAATATTTAGTTTGGATGGGCCACGTGCAATTGTGTGCCGAGCACCTTTTTTTTTTCCCTTCAATGCGACGATTCTCCCCCCCCCCGTGCTCACAAGCCCGAGCGGGCAACTTTCAACAGGCTCCACCAGCAGTTCACTTACAAAGGATAGGAGTTCTGTCAGGAAGCCCGGGCATTCAGACGCACTGGAAATGACAGCTGACGGGGGGGAAGAAAAGAGGGGCGTCTCATATTTTACTTAATGAACCGTGAAGCCAGTGTGATGCATAAGTGGTGCTTATTTCTCCATTAAGACAATGTCTCCAGAAAGAATGATGCGTCTTGGTTAGAGTTTGCTCCAGTTTATCTTAATGTCAGCGGTTCTAACCTTTTCTGGCTTGAGCAGCTTTATCTGGGCACATAAAACAAAGCAGTACATACCTCTCAGAATAGATAGACTTCTGTGAAGCCTGTAGCCACCGTCTTGTGTCTACAGGTGGGATGGACAGTAGTTGCTCATCAGACACTCTTTAGCCTGTCAGGGTTTGCTGTATATGACACCAAGTTACCATATAGCTGTAATTAAAGGCAAGGTTTTTTAGAAAAGTGTCCCCTCAGTGACCTTTGTGTGAAGTCAGAATCACCAAAGCAGACCAAGTGAAACCTAAAAATGTCCCTTCCGACTCCCCTGACTCCCTTTTCGACCAAGGCTATAAAACACGAAGGCTTTTGTGTGATTGTGTCTGAAAACAAGCAGACAGCATTGATTGTTTCCGTCTGCTTCGGCTTCCAGCCCTTGAACATGCCTCTTTCTAGAGACAGCCCGGTGCACTTTGTGCATCCGTTTCGTGCGTTCACCTTCAGAGGGACTGACAAACAAGCCGGCTTACATGGAAACACGATTATCTCAGCATGCTTGGGCATGTCTAAACGGCCTTGACCTGAGAAAGTCACGAGCAAGCTTCTGTAGAGGATGACCAAAGCGACGCCGTGCCTTTGCTGTGCTGAACGCAGCTTCCTTTTCAAGTGGAACTGGAGGGATCGGTCCATAAAGACCTGCATGAAAAGGGCGATCTTTAACAGGGTCTCCCATCCATCCATTCATTCATTTTTGTAACCGCTTAATCCCTAATGGGGTCACGGGGGAACTGGAGCCTAACCCAGAGGCGGGATACACCCTGGAGGGTCCACCAGTCCATCGCATGGCCACACAGAGACACACAAGGACCAACAACCACACACGCTCACTCCTAAGGGCAATTTGGAATGTCCAATCAAGCTAACATGCAGGTTTTTGGACGGTGGGAGGAAGCCGGAGAACCCGGAGAGAACCCACACAGACACAGGGAGAACATGCAGACTCCACACAGAAAGGTCCTGGTTCCCCCGGGAACTCGAACCCAGAACCCTCTTGCTGTGAGGCCATGGTGCTAACCACCACACCACCGTGCCGCCCTAATAGGGTGTTGTGCCGTTTTTTTTTTTTGCTGTCACCTGCTCACCAGTCCAGTTTTCAACAAATGTCTTCCTGTTTTTCTTTCTTTTTTGGGGGGAATGATACAATTCCAACATTGGCATCAGCTCCAAGAACACACTCCACTATCGCAGGCTTTAAAGTGACATTGGAAAAGCTGGGCGCTGTGTTAGAGGCAAAGGTAGATCATCGGAGGGGTCACTGAACGGCGTCCAGAAAAGAGGCCTCCGAAACATGGGATGAAAACAAAGAGCGAGAAAGGAAAAAACAACCGTGGAGTGAGACATGGAGAAAACCAGACGGATTTCCACAGAAAGGGGGGAGCTCAGACAGAAAGAGGAAAAGAGAGAAGAAAGAGGAGGAGGAGGCTGACCAGCGGGAGAGATCGATGGGAAACAAGAGCAGCGGCAACCATGATGGAAACCAGATGTAGGCGAAGGCCACAGAAAGCAGGGGGAAAGCGCTGGAGCTGAGAGGAGCCTGCAGAATGTGGAACTGATAGAGGAGGACGTGATTAGTGGGGAAACAAGAGATTGTGACAGGGGAAGAGGGGAAAGAGGAGAAGTCAGAGGGAGAGACTTGAAAAGGAGGTGAAAAAAAAGCCAGAAGGGACAAAAGGGAAATGAAGATGAGGAGAAGAAAAGCAGAGAGGCTTGATGCAGATTTCCTCCTCCAAACTCAGCCTGTTATAAAATAACAGCACCTGGTTCTTCAGGCTGCCGCCGCCGGACAGATTCAAATCCAGCTTAGGCCTTTATGCCTTTATGTGTTCCCATTTGCACGGTTGCAAACGTGGGCAATAAGGAATAGCTCGGCGGTTTGTCACATGCTTTCAAGAGTTACAAATTTCAAAGCACATTCGCTTTAACGTGAAAAAAAACTGCTTCTCCCCCCTTTTTTTTTTATTGTGCACATGGTGAACCCTCACAAATCCCCCCAAACAGCGTGCGCGGTTCACTGAGCTAAGCAGGGGTCTGCTGAAAGTTCACTTTCTTAACTTTGAACCCAGCTGACCCTGGAGGGAGCAGCTAATCCCCACAGACCGCCGGCCGAAGGAAAACATGGACGCCGTCCGTCACCTTATTATCGGCCTCTATCGCAGCTGTTGGTGGAGACAGTACGGCCAGTTGATTTTTTAATAAAAAAGAAAACACAACCTCTGGCGCTCAGGAAAGCAACTCCATTTAAATGTGTGTAGTCCAGTTGCATAAAAAAGAATTATAATGAAAAAATATTGTTTTCTAATCCTCCAACTAATGTGTGGGGTCACCCTAACCCTAACCCTAGGCAGAAATTGGTAAATGGGTTCTCATGAAGTGTTGCTGAGGTTTAGATGATCCTTTGATATATAAAATATTCTCTTTTGACTAGAAATACAGCTTGAGTGTCTCTTAATTTTTGGAGTGAAACCAATATCTCTGAGGAAACTGCAACATCAGTCAAAGCCAGTTTCAACTTCATAAAGCTGGCTCTGACTGTTTGATTGCTTCATGATGAAGATCTCATCATACGTCCAGAGGGAACTCTCTCCTGGTTACACATTGTCATTATTTAGCAAGGACAATACTTACTGAGTCAGGGGTCAGTCACTTAGCACATATATTCATGTAAAATTCCATTGATCTAAATTTAAAAATATATATATTTTTCATCCCTGTATCAAAGATCCATGGCGTTTGTGTTTTGTTTTTTTTTTGAGCCAGGATTTTCAAAAGAGAGAAATGAGGGAAAAAAAGGGATTCTTCAGACGCCACTTTTGTGAAAGCAGGACTTTCAAAACCCTTAAGCCAGCTCCTGTGCCAATGCATTTGTGATATTTTCAGGTTCTGGCAGGACTTCTCATCCAGTGAGCGAGAAACACTCAGTCAGTGTTTGGTGAGGGTTTAAATGATGACGCTTTCCCAGCCTGAATTCCCCAAATTGAGAGGAATTAGTTTGCAAAAAGCCCCACCAGGCAGTTAAAGCCAAAAGCTACTTGTAGATTCATCCTAGATGTTTGTGTTCCCGCCTCATCTTTCAAGTGGCCGGAGGGGGTGACGGAAGTCGTCTAAATCTTTCGGGGATCTGCGGCGCGTAAGGCCGCCGTATGCGTCTGGTCCGTTCAGCCTCGGTGCCCAAAGCGCTGCTGACCGCTGGGGTAAACAGCGGCCATCCTGGGCAGGCCTGCGCCGTACGTGTCAGAGGCCCCCGGACAATCGCAGGAAACTCCATTAACGCAGCATTCCTGTGATTGACATCATGATTCAACTCCCGTCTGGTTCTTTGTCGCCACCACTTTGGGCAAAAGCTGTTTTTTTCGGCTAGACTCTTGACCCGATGCATCCCTTTTTATTTTCCCCAAAGGGAATGGAATTACCCTCTGCCACATATTCTTGGCAAAGCACTGCTGCCGCGTGCCTTCTGACACCTATGTGCACGCCCCCCCGGCGGGTCTGCGCACGGCCGCCCGTCTAATGAAGTCATCCTGCCTTATCAGAGTGTGAACGCAGGCAGTTAGAGGAGGAAAAGTCCTGTTTCTCTCTCTCTCTCTCTCTCTTTCTCTCCCTCCTTGTGACTTTGCTGTGACTCCCGGGTCTACATCTGTTTCTGTTTTCCACCTTAAACTTGCCCGACTGGGCACCGAGGGAGCCCAAACTGGGCTGCACATGTTCTTCCCTCTCCTAAAGCCCATGCCATCCCTTGTTCCCCCACTTCTTCTTTTTTTTCCCCCCCTTTTTTTTATTCCTATTCCCTGATCCAATGTGGAAAATGCAGCATCACCCAAACCGCCGCTGCAGCCCTTCCAAGTGCCCTAAAACTTTAAAAAAAGAAACCCTACCCTCCTCTTTTTTCTCCTGCAGCCCTCTCTTTTTTCTTTTCTTCTTCTCTTTCTCTCCCTGCCAAACCGCTCCACCCTGCCGGGCACACAGAAGCCGGATCGGGGATCTGGCTCCCTGGGCCGTCCTTCCGTCCTTCCCTAAAGTGAATTTTATGTTCACACGTACGTGCGTGCGCCCGCCACCTCTCAGCCTCCGAGAGCCGCCGATCGGACCATAAAGTGGGTGGGGATTGTCAGGAAAATCCCGAGAGATGCCACAGAGGGCTCTTTGGCTTCCCCGCGGCGGGCCAGCCGCAGAGATCTCCAGCGTCCACACGGCCGAAACACTGGGGTGATTTAGACACGGCTAGCTGAGCACTAATAGAAAGCCGCTCTGGGTGAGATATGAGGGACTGGAGCTCAAAAAACGAGTCCCCACGGGGTGTAAATGAATTCAGATCATAAAGAATATACTTTATGTTCGGTTTAGAAGCGAGCCTGGGAAACCTGCCTTTCCACAGGACTGCAGGTCAGATCAGAATACAAGAATCTATGTTTTTGTCCAAACAGACTGAAGAGAAAACAACACACAAACAGCAGTGTCACCCCCCCCCCCCCCACGCCCCCCTCCCCCTGTTTTTTTTTGTTTCCCCTTCAGCATTTTCCACACAAACAGGGCATGAAAACTGTTTTTACTTACCATGACTTCAGTCAGGAATTCCTACATAGTCCCGAGCTGCTTTCCTGACTCCGCTTCCTCTCCACATTCTCCGCACAAGTTTCTCTTCACGCTACTGAGCGACCTTCTTTACCCCCCTCATCTGGGTCTCGCTTTCCTCTACAAATCTTCTCCCTTTTTTTCAAGGACAGAAGTTTGCAGCCTGTTAAAAAGAAGAAATAGGAAAAAAAAAACAGAGATAAAAATAGTGTTCCTCTTCTCCTCCACGGTTTCTGCTGTATTTCCCAGCCTGGGAATGTCCAGGCTGCTTTTTTCTTTTTTTTCCCTTTTCTTCCCCTCCTCTCTCTCTCTCTCTCTCTCTCTCTCTCTCTCGACAGTCCCACACACTCCCACCTCTCCCCCCCTCCTCCTCACCTAACAGAAGCGCTACAGTCCCTCTCTGCTCTCAAACTTTCCATTTTTTTTCCTTCCCTGGATTCACTTAAATGAATAGACAATGAAAAGTGTTACCCCACCCAGTCTGCAGCTCCAGAGGAGCCTCCAAAGTTTGACTGTGGGACTGGGATTGTGTAGCCACACATTATTGAGACATACTCTCAGAAGAAGGCGATTAAGCCTATCTGTATTTAGCTTAATCTTACATATATGTATATATATAAAAGGAGCATGGCAGTTGAATGTAGCTACAAATAGACCTTTTCTGCCCACTTTCCATCATGGCCTTTGGAAAGCACTGAGCAGTTTTTAAAGTAAGTTTGCTCTAAAAGAAGGCCGATTGACATGGCTACCACACCCGGATTAACAGACATCTCGATGGGTCACCCTCAAATCATATATTTCAAATATATATTTCCAGGTGGACTCTTTACGGGGCCCGATAAGTCCTGGAGCGCCCACGGCTTCACGCCCAGAGAGCGTAGAAGGCCTTTTCCCCCACTGAGTTCAACCAGGAAATGTGTTCAAGATGCCTCTGTTTCTGTGTCCGAATCGTAATGAAGCCACAACTGACGAGTCGTCAGGTGGCAAACGTTTTGTCCAAAATGCTTGGACGTAACGTCCCATCAACAGAGTTAGAGACCCATGAAAGGTAAAGTTTGTCAGCCCCAACAATGGATGTTTTGTTTTTTGTTTTTTTTACCAAAGACCTTGGTAGATGTTCGTTTTTTTTTAGCCTGGCGATAAACATTTCTGGGTGGAAGCCCTGGTTAGGTGAGCAAATGTGCAAAGAGGGCTAGAAAACGTTGAGCGACGCGAGGCTGAAAGTAGCAAATCTCTGGAATCCTGTTCACGTCCTGGCGCCAGCAGAGAGGTGTGGAACACACACCCGTGTCCTCTGCACTCGTGTGTTTCTTTGTGTTTTGTTTTATTCTTTGCGTCTCTGAGGCGTTTTGCATAAGACCGGCTGGTTTCTGCTGCCTTTGTTTGAACTGCTACTTTTAGTCACATCACGGGTCTCTTTTGTGGATGTTTTCACTCTTCTTTCTTTTTGATTATTTTTTTTTTTAATACTTTATTGGTCTATAATTATTAATCACTTTCATGCAAAGGTCACTTTCCGCCCTTCGGGAGGGGTTTTGTGTGTCCATGCAGTAGTTTTATCTGCAATCGTGTTTGTTTTTTTGTTTGTTTCCTCCAAATTTTAGAGCACTTTGTAACAATCTAGTGTCCCAACAGTCCGTCTGTGACTTTCTTTGTCAACCCTTTTTAATTTTTTCCCATTTTGTTTCCCATTTTGTGTTAATTTAGCTGTATTACTTTGTACATTTAATCATTTTTTTATGAATCTATAGCCAGTATTGTTGTTCACTTTTTATTCGCTCTCTGAGGAATTCTCTGTGGTTGTTTGTGCCCTTATTATTTGCTATTATGCAAGACAACGCAGATTGCCAGTGAGTCTTTTTCCTTCTTTTTTTCTGAGTTTCGCCGAAATCTAAACTGTTCAATTTCAGCAAATTGCCTCAAAGTAAAAGGTAAACGACATTTTAAGAGCCCTTATGCAAAAAAACCCAACTTCTTGATTATATAGAAAGACAGAATTACCTGTGATATAACACCCTTTTTCTGCAAGAAGAAGCTGTCTGCATGCCAGCAGAGTGGTGGGAAAAAGACGAGTATCAGTATCAGACAGTCAGAGGTCAGGGAAAGAGAGCGTGCAGGCAGACAGGAGGAAAAGACCTGGATACAGCCGAGTGTGTCTCTTACAAAAGCTCTGCAGCGCCTCCCTGTGTTCCATGTGAGGTGTTTCAGCACTTAGACACCCGGAGGAGGGAGCCGGGCATAATGAGCCGTTCCAACTGGGGGCCAATAGGTTATGCTTTTAATTGAAGGAATAAATACATTAAACGGGGGACCACCGACTGTCTCGGAAATGGAATCACACTCATGTAATTTGTGGAAGAAATGGCCTAATATGAAAAAGGCCCGCGTTACATGGGTTACACAAATATAAGAAATATGTTTAAAAAAACAGCTCCTTTTACTTTTTATCACATGATTTGACACTGTAAATGTTCCCATGTATTACTATGCATATTAGGAACATATTTCACAGTTATTATTATTCAAATGTAACAATCTATTTCTCCTTGGCTTTTACACTTTGGATTCCTTTGCTTTTCTGCTTGCTATTATTACTAAAGACACACTTCCATGCCACGTCTTTTGTTTAAAGGGCAAACAAAGGGGGTGAACATGAAAAAGAAATAGTCCGGCTAGAAAGCAAGTACCTTTCTTCCAAGTTACTGACACATCCTATGACAATCATTTAGTCCTCATCAGGTCTTTACCTGAGTTGATAAAGCATCAGATGAGCATTATTCATCATTATCGGTTTTACAAGAATTTGGCCAAAACCTTTCCACCCCAAGCGAAAGTCGTGACTCAACTGCTGTAGCAGATACTCCAGATAAGAAGGACTAGTAAAACCAGGTAAGCCATTACTTAGCCCCTCCCTAACTCTCTGGGTGTGGTTGTACTGTTCATTTGAAAATACTCTTGTTAACCCTGCTAAGGTTACATTTATTTCTCACTCTGCAACTTCCTTATACTCACAGGGTTGTGCTGCACCTCGACGCAAGGAAGGAACCATTTCACACACAAATCCCCCTGGTCTGGTCATGATGCTCAGGGAGCCTCTCCTGTCCTGTTACATCGTACCCCTGCAACCATTCCTATGGGAATGGTCTAAGAGGTCAACAGAAATTGGAAAAAATGTGAGCGCTTTATCTGATAAAGTGACACTATTCTTCCAGTTTACTGTCTGTCATTTACTCAGCTCGGTTAATTATTTATGATTAATTCTGTTCTGCAGTTTTCATTCTTAATAAAAAAGACACTTTTTGCACGTCTTAGCATCTAAACTTGTGCAATGCAAAAATGAAAAGATTACTTACGTCACTGTTAAAACAGGCACACTATTAAACCACTCTGTCTTGTAACCTCAACATGTTCATATGAGGATTTGTGTACCAACATACCCGAGGCAGATTCAAAGTACAAAGGACATTACCAAAGAATGAAGGCTGAATGCCTTTCCTTTTAAGAATGATAATTGTGTAATGAAATATTTACTGTCTCATTGTCTAACTCTCATAACTTCAATGCCTCTTAACAGTCATCAAGAAAGCTGAAAGACATGTCTTCCATTTGTACACGGAAACAAAGACGTTACACTGCAAAGAGAGGATAAAAAAATCTCAGTGGATGCCACTTATTACTGACCTAAATTGTTTTCCTTGGTAAGGATTTACGTTGCCGAATGGAAAGACTGAATTCTTTGCCAACAATACACTTAAAGTAAGGCGTTGCTGCTTTTCAAGATGCATAACCTCAGTGTAACCCAAGAGACAAATGGAATTCTTCCTTATGACGGCACTGTCAGATGGTTATTAATGAAAAATATACGTTTAATAGAATGTATTGATATCCAGGGCCACCATTCACCCAGTCTTAATCTGTCAAACACTTTTAAACAGGCTAGCTTAGATGATGATAAGTGACCATGATGGAAAAAAGGATGAGTTTAATGTGCAACAGGCCAATTGCTAGTAAAGATCTAAAGTTAGTATTAATAAAGCACCAAATGTAGAACATTTTAGGAGAAAAACACACTTATAAAATCACTTACCACATTCAAAACAGTGTCTTCCTATTGCATTTTCATTTCGTGTTTAAGTCTCAAACAAAACCTTGCTGACACAAAAAACTAAACAAATTGAAGCAAAACCAACATTTGTTGGTCCTGTTAGCTTAGCCAACTAGCTTACGTGTGTGACTTCAAATTCTAAGCCTGTTTTCAAGAAAGAAAACGACATAGTGTAGTCAACCAGCTACTTACTCATTTAGGAAGTATTAGTAGAATTAACTTATCAGTCTTGTTTAGCTTGTATCAAAACGGCTGTAACATAGCTAGCTTTAGCAGTTAGCTTCACTTCAGACGTTAACTCGCCTTTGAAACTAATAACATTTAGCTCTCTGTTGGTAAATATGAAAAAATGTAAACAATGAGTAATCTAATTTGTACATTTTATTTTGTAGCCTAACTGCCACATGTTATGAAAAGCTATTCTCTATGGAGCTTCAAACTGCAAAGAGTTCCAAACAATATAAAAAAAATATGTAAAATAATAAGGAATGCACTCAACATCAAGGTAATATATAAATGCATTTATTTGAAAAATACAGTACACTTAGGGCTCCTACAATCTGCAAATATACAAAAGCATGTTTGCCTTCGTTTGCGATCATCAAGATTTTTATGAACGCGCAGAAAAATATCAGCCAGTGTTGGCTTCATATCGGGAGCATTGCTGAAAAATCACCAATGCCATTACAAAGAAAAAAAAAGAAAAGACAAGCATTACATGAAAATCACAATAGCATAAATAAAAGGGACAAATACATGTTGTGGCCTTTACATAAATATAAATGACTTGTAAAACAAACAATTCTCCTCCTCTTGACTGAGCCATGGTATTCCCATTAAGTCTTTACATTGTTTTATCCTAGAAAAGCAATAAAGGCTTTAAGGTAACCAGACCCCAAAACCCCAATTTTCTAGAAACTGTTACATGATCTTTGTTTCTGTTAAGTGAGATTAACAGCAAACATTCTTATCCATATTGCCTTTTTAGTCCTGTGGTAAACTGATTGTAAAGGTCTTACATTTTAGCTCCTATTGACATAAATATTCTTTTAATTATTCCTTTTCAACGCTTATTAAGGGAACCAGAAAGCTGTTGAACAGCGAACCCCTCTCCTTTTTGATCTACGAACAAATCCTATCCCCTTGAGATGCATCTTGTTTGAGCAAAAATGTTCGTGGATCGAA